TTCTTTATTCATGGGTTGCATTTTCTAAATAAAAGTATTTAAAGGCTGCCAATGCATGCCCACGCCCCCCGGCGCCCTCACCGCCTTCACCACCCCCAGCACCCTCACCGCCCACAGTACTCAGTACCCCGCGCCCCCACCGCCCTCACCACCCCCACCACCCTTACCGCCGGCCACTACTCCACCTTAGTTTTACCCATTGCTTGCATTTTCTAAATAAGAGTATTTAAGGGCTGCCAATGCATGCCCACATTTTAAAAGGGCGCTGATAGTACAGGGTTTGGGGCACCTTTTTAATACACTTATCTTGAAGAACCCGCAGGATTGTTGATAATTATCTAGGCGTCTCACGTGGATTTAGGGATTTAGGGTTGAGGTCAAATCCTAGCCACGAAACCCAAATAGACAGGTGCGGCCTTCAGGGGTCGGCGGCACTGGCGGCAGCCATGAAATATATATATATATGTATATATATATATATATGATCAGCCTTGAGACCCAATCTTAAAGATGTTGACGACGAAATCTTCTATCGAAGTATTGTATCTGCAAAGCTTGTCTTTCTGCAAGAAATTCAAGCTCTTTCAGGCTCCATCATATCTGAGTTAAATAAATGTACGACGACGACATCAAGACGACGAAAACAAGGAAAGCGTTAAAAGTTGACAACCGGCATGATCGGAAATCTTCATCTCCATGTGTGCACGTGCGTGTGCGCACGTGTGCGAGAGTCTCCATATCACTTCTTGCAATCTTCTTCCCTTGTCCTCTCCTCATTCTTCAGCATCACCACACGAGTTGATGCCAGCAAGATAGGATAGCAAACGACATCGATGCTGTACTTCATCAGCAACCTCCGTTGCCAGACTTGCTCTCTGCTTCGTTACTCTGTGCTACTCGAAAACTGGGGGCCGGGCCTCGACGCCGAGCGGCGATCTCTTCCCCCGACCACACGCCGGAGGCCGTCGCGGAGCACCTCCGCTTTTTGTGGAGGCGTTGAGCCGCCATATGCCCCGCACCCTCGCCTGGTGTAGCATGTAGAGGTGGCCACCACGGAAGAGGCCGCGGAGGCCTTCGCAGCTGTACCTGACAGTGCCCTTAGTCCGCTCCGCCCCTCCGCCCCTCCGCCGCTCCGCAGTCCGAGTGGCGTGTGGCGCAGCCGCCGAAAGGACGCAGTGAGAGAGGAGGCCCGTGGCCTAAGGCGGTCCTCCTGTTCCGAAGAGCATCAGCCGGTACCTTCCCGGTGTCTTCTTCCCTCTACCCCTTCTGTCTCCTCGTCGCAGAGCAGCCTCACGTTGTTCGCCACTAAGGGGTAGGACGCCTCGGGCCCCGCAGAAGAGAGAGGCCGCGCGCGCACGGCAGGCACACACAAAACCGGTAAAAGACCGGGCTCCGGGGCCAGCTGCAGGGGCGAAGGAAGAAAGGAGGGAAAGGAGGGGAGCCCGCGATCACCTGAGACACAGCGCAGACTGTCGCTGCTGTTGGGCGGACGGGCGCCGAGGCCTGGGATCCCTTCGGCCCCATCGGTCTTTGTCCTTAAATGGGACATCCGAAAAAAAAGGACCTTCCGCTGGAGACGGATGGGCCTGCCGGCATTTGCTTCCCTGGGCTCCTTGGACCGGAAAAGCATCTCCCTCCCCAGAGTCCTGGAGTCCTAGAGCCCATCGGCCCGAGTCCTTGGAGGCAGAGCTGCCCATAGCGCATCGAGTACCACCCTCTGCTTCTTTTCCTGTGCCTGGGCCTGCTCCTTTCTAAGAGCTCCGGTGAGCTATACTGGGTTCTCTGGGTATCTTCACTTCTTCATCTGCCGCGCTGTGATGTGAGACGTTGAGCCCGAGAGAGGAACTCCGCAACGGCGGAGAGGCTGCCGGGCGAAGATACATGTGTCATGTCCGGCAAGCACAGACACACACACACACAACCGAACAAGAATCGTGGACGCACGGGGTGGAGCCGTGAGTCTGTTGCCTCTTTTGCCGGAAGGCGGGCTCTCGCCGACCCTCAGCGGGTGAGATTTTTTGGACATTGCGGCTCAGGCGCCCCGGAGCTGAGCGTACTCGCCCATCTGGGCCTGCACCTCCAGCATCACCTGGGGGGGAGGCAAGCTCGCGACCAGAGACAGAGACAGAGACAGAGA